ATAGAACCATATACTTCTAAACGCATAAATTGATACAACTCTTCTCATTTATTATAAAAAAATATTAATATATATCTATTAAAAAACCATTAGTTTAGAAGATATTTTAATTTTTATGTTGCGAAGTAGTACTCGCGCGCACACGCGTAGATTTCAAAATATTTATGTGTAGCCTCTATCCACGCTCGTATGGATGTTTGTAAACAAACGATATTGTGTAGGATATTTTCAAATAATTGTTTAAGATTTTCTTATCTCAGGAATCCAAAGTTCGGTTGTGAGATTATTTAAAAAGCAGATTATACTTCAAGTAAAATTGTTGATACAATTTTAATATTGGAAAAATGTCATTGTGGAGATTGCGACGGTATCGTGAAAGATACTCAAATCGACGAGATTTAAATTACATTGTCATTTGATGGTGTAAAATATATTCTCGGCAAAGATTTACCCAGAAATGTCTATCGATTGTTATCGAATTTATAAAATGTTGCGATTACAACAATAGTAATTGAAAATCCCCATATTAGTTGTCAAATTGAACTCAATTTTACTCCATAATTTCTTCAATCAATGGTTACAAAAAATTAATAGTATTCGTATCATATGTGTGTGCATCAAGCATTATAATGATGATGATTTTGTTCACAAAATTCTGTCAATGTATGTGTGAACTCAGCATAAGATATTCTAAAATCTATTTTTTTCATATTCTTGTTTTCTGGCAAAGCTAGTTTTACTAACAGAGGATAAACAAACCAGTATAATTATCATTATTGAACTGAACATAATTCGTATTAGCATTATCCTGTTCTACATCAGTGTCTTTTAAGATGTAATATGGTATTATGGACATATTATCAGTTCGTATTTTCTTTATAGTACACTCACTGTCGATAAAGGATTTTATTTAAACAAAATTTATTGTATTTCTAGAAGATATCAATCTAGCTACTAGACAACGAATGTGGTTACAACACGAAACAGTGTTCTAACTCATTATATTATATAGCTCAAGCGACATTAACAATCGTTAGATTGGACGAACTAGTCATGTCGACTTTCCATCAAGACCATCGGATCGGATTTGATATCATTGGATTATTTTATGAAGAGTTATTTAAAAAATAAAGTTTACATAAAAGAAGAACTAAAAAAACAAGAACTCTTCTACTTCAAACAACTTGAAGGTAAAGAATTCTTCAAGAATGTTAAGGAATTTCTAGTAAAATGCTTAAAAGGGTTGATATATCATTTAGAAGACTGCAAAATCCAGGCTGTTTGATTGAAAAAAGACGTTTTTAACTTCAACTTTAAAAAGATAAGAATATCACACTGGTAGTATTATTTAACAACAAAATCAAAATTAAAATATCTGAATTAATGGCTTTTTAATAAATAACCTAATATTTTTTTATAATGAATGAAGATCTGCATCAATGAATGCATTCAAAAGTATATGATTTCATTAAAAAAATAAAGTTGATCTTCATATCTCTACATCTCCATCAACTTGTATAATATACACACACACATATATATATATAAAATTATGTTTCTTTCAAAACTATTCAATCTTTTCAGAAATATTTTTTGATGTTACCAATAGTTTCAAAGATATTCACGTTATTTAAGTAGAATACCCTTAAGTAGGATACCCTATATATATTAAAAAAATATAAAATTAATAAAAAAGATTATATAGATTGAATAAAATAATAAGATGTCCATATAAGTCTACTGTAAAAAAAAAGAAATATAAAATAGACAATGCAGAACAAGCCACATAGAAATACATAACAGTCATTCGAAATGTTCAGCAAAAAAAAAGCATGTTCTTAGAAACATAAAATAAACTTATATTAATTTACTATATTATTAATCTTTTAATCAACATTATTATGGCACAGCCATAACATATAGCAATAACATTGTGGATCACAATAAAATTCAATAATTACATTTCAATTAATTACAATTCAATAATTAAAATTCAATACCATCAGAAATTATTAAATATCTCATGAAACATTTAAAGTTAAACATTTAGAAATTGAGATAAATTTATTTCTAAGCATTTCGAAGGAGCATTATTTTGGTAGATATACTAACAATTTTGTAACATTTCTAAAAATTTTAAAAATAAAAAAATAAACATTTTTAAATTGTCCATTGTGGTATTTGTAACCAGGAAAAAATTAAAAAATAATTATGTAACAATAATACTAATGAAAATCTGAGGAAAAATATATACTGACATACCTCTCGAACAGCCTGCTGTGCAGCTTCCCTATTAGTAAATGTGATAAATGCGTATCCTCTGTTGGAACCTGACATGGGGTCCATCATCAGTCTCAAATCCCAAATTTTTCCGCATTTTTCAAATAACGGAATTAATTCGTCTTCATACATGTCTTTTGGAATTTTGCCACAAAATACCTTTTTGCAAAAATATTCAATGTAATAATTTCAAAAAATAACAAGCAGTTCTTTTATACAGCATTTAAGATATTTTATTTAAAACTGATATTGTGCATTTTAAGTATATATATTTTAAAGTGTGTGTGTGTATATATATATATATATATTAAAAGAAATCATTTAAAAATATAAATATATTTTAAACTTCTATAATAAATATATATATATATTTAAATTTACCTCACAACCAGTGCCAGGAGTTGGACCTTCCCAATTTGGTGGAGGGCCACCATATTTTCTTTGTCCAGTAGTTACATCCAAAGGATATCCTGTTCTCTCCAAAATCATCTAAAAAATTATAATTATAATTAACAAATTTAAGAATTATAATTAAATATTTTACCATTATAAAACACCATTTATATAAGCATTTAACTCAAACTAACAATTATGAAAAATTTAAATTATTCTAATCAATTTATAATTATAGCTATTAACTGTAACTTTAAATTACTTTGATTTTGTCCTCATCCGGGGCTTTAGGTGTTGTGCTGGTGCCTGTTCCTTGACCTGCACGACTCTTCTGTCTGTATGTCTTCATTACTCCACAAAGATATGCCGATTTGTTAGATACATGTTCTAGATTAGATTCCAGAAATTGTGTAAGCACATTTAGTGCACCATCAACTGGAAATTCTTTTAAAGCGTCAAGAGCTCTTTCATCCAGATCAACATGAGCCAATTTTCCCGTCTTATAAATCTCATCCAGTTTGGCAGCCACTTTTTCATCTAGCCCATATTGCATAAGTTTGTTAAAATCTTCTGTCCGTTCCAAATTTTCCATGTCTTGCTTTTCTTCCATTTTTATTTCCCCATTTCCTTCTGCCATTGCTAAAAAACAATAATAACTATTTTATTAATCAAAATCTTTCTTTATTTTTAATATATATAAGCTAAATTATATATAAATTATTCTCATAAAGTATTTTATCATTTTATATAATATATATTGCATACAAATATATATTTGTATACATTAATTTTCAAAGGTTATACATTATATTGAATTTTTTTAAATTTACACATATTTAAATATCCCATATTCACTACAAAAAACCTATAATACATTTAATACATAAATGCAAATACATATGTCTACTAATAAAATTATTTCATATTTTTCACATCATTTTGATTTATATTGCAACATTAACCGATACTTTTACCATTTTCTCTGGCAATAAAATAAAAGATATATATAAAATATATACAATTTTAAGATATACAAATGTTAAAAAATTTTTGAGATATAGAGTTAAATTAATATAACTAAAACTCTAAAATAAGTACAAAAAACAATTATTAATAAAAATGTCTACATTAATATAAAAAAGCAACAAGTTTTATATATATAATATTGTTAACAGTATAAAGCTATTAATTTCTTTTTATACTTATTTTTAATTTATTCATAACTCACTCCTTTGAGTAAATTTAAATTATTAATTGCGATTTTCTATATTATTTTCATTCTTCTCAAAAAAACACATATATTTCTATATTGAAATTTATATATCTAACGAAAAAGTGCGACTTTTTCCGAGATAACGATGACAAAGAGCTAGCAGAAAATCGGTGCACGCGGGAGGGAGTCTCAAGTTCATCCGCTTTCGCTCTAATCGCGATTCGAAAAAATTTGAAGGCCAAAAAAATAAATAACTGAAAAAATATATGTACACGCGTAATATTCGCGTTACATTTGAAAAGCGAAACGGAAAATGAAACGAGAGGGAACTTGCGATGTCGCGGCACGTCTCTCATACGTTCATTGATGACACTCGTGTTGATTATAGGCGGCGAACGGATCGGACGCGATGCAACCGCCTAACGTGAGAAACGAATTTCGAAATATATTATTTCTCTTCGCGGCGTAATTCTTTTCGGAGATGCGATGAATCGTCGAAACTCCGCGGCCGCACTTTTCTCACACGACAGTTCGCCGGCCGGCAAAACGCGATCGCACGGCGGCCGCCGTGCCAAATATACGATGCACCTCTATATGCACTCGCGACAGATGCACTTCGCGCGATGCGCGTTTAATCCGGCGTTATTTTCCTCCCCGCGCTCGCGGAACCGCGTTCGCGGCCCGTGTGAGAAAATCAGCCGGTACGGCCTCGATGCGTGGAAAAACCCCGGCGAGCGATTACCTTGCGAAATAAACGGACGGTCTCTCCTCCGTGCGAGGAAATGGCGACAGACGTCAACGTGATATTGCGAGACTACGGGGTTCACAAAACGACGCGCAAAGATACGCTCGAACCCAGCGACACGACGTTGGCCATTTCTCGCTCGTGCGAATTCTGATTGGTCCGGGAGCCGCGCGAAGAGGAAGGCCCGACGAAGAAAAAAAGTCGGCCGCTCTCCGAAACCCCGGCCTCGGAGTAAACGCGTCCGGAGCGCGCTCTCGGGAAGGAGTTCTCGTTTAATGCGGCGATAAATAAATCCGCGGCAAACGTTTCGTGCGAAATGGAATTATTCCATTGCGAAGACGCAACGCGAAAGATCGAGCGACTTTTCGAAGTTGAGGAACTCCCCCGGTGAAGAAATAATTTTATGACGATTTATATATTTCTACGAAAAATTAAGATTTTCGATAACAGATCACAAATTTGTGAAAATTGTAGAAATTTTTGATAACTTGTAATGAATTGTAAAAAATATTTACAAATTTTTACAAGTTTCTACAACTTCTTACGACATTTTCATGTGAGCGATACGTAGTATATTAAAGTTATAAAAGTTGTAGATAATAATGTAGATGTAAAAAATCACAACTTTTCATATAAATTTATGAAAAACTCCGAATATAGCCCAAATCGCGTAGTTTGATATAAAAATTACATCGGAAATAATATAATAATGTAGTTATAAAAAAATTATAATTTTCACGTGATAGGTTGCAAAATTACTTCCACCGGGGGATTATAATAACTAGCATATCCACCTTTCAGAGAAGCCGCGATGACGTATTAGCAGCGAATGTTTCTTTTTACGCGATTAAATTTGACCGCGTGGCGGTTGATTTCACAAAATCTTCGAAGATCGGGAATACGACAAACCACGCCGTGCTATTCATTATCGGTATGATTTCCATGCGCGCGCGCTTTTGCGTATGAACACGTTACCACGTATTTACGAACGAATTTGAGCGAATACGAGAACGGCATTCACAAAGAAGCGCAATTTGCAAATATCGAAATCTATCTTATAATTTTTTTTTATAATATATTTAGCATATTTATAGCCTCTATTATTGACCGATGTGTAAATTAAGAGAAATTACAGATCATTTTCTAATAGCAGAGAAGCTGTAATAGTCGTACGAAAAAGTTGCGAACACGTGTATATGAATGCATCGTTAAAATCTCGAATCATCTCGAATAATGTACATACGCATTCATTCATTGTTTCGGAGCCGTTTGGCCTACCGGTATATTTTTTGTTTCAGAGAATTAAAATTTATAAATTCGTCGATCGAAAAAAAGTATAATATGTAATTATCTGGAGGCAAAAAGATTTCTCCGAATAATGTACCTTTTTTCTTATATCTCTGTACCGTATATTATAATATCCCACATGTTAGACATCGCACATGAGAGAAAAAAAAAAAAAGAAGTGTATCGATATATTCGATTATTTCGCGTAAAAGACATAAAGCAACGATTCTATATAAATCGCAAGAAGACAGAAAGAAAACAAAGGAAAGAGAGACGGAGAATGGAGCGATATATTCATGATAAAAGATGCGTGTATACCTGTGCCAAATTTGTTCTCCTCACCGGTATTAATTTAGCAGATTTGTTGTTTTAATGACGAAGAAACACCAATTGCAACGGCAACACAAGAAAATAGTCAGGATCTCCGCAGCCCAGGTGTCATAAAATTCATAATTAATTGGCACGCCACAGTTTTTTCGCGAAGAAAGCGTTTCTCCCTACTTCAGGTTGATGTATGATGACAATGACTACGGTGGCCACAGCAGTGGCGGCGTCGGCGGTGGCGACGACGGTGGCAATGGCGATGGCAATGGCGGTAACGGTGATGATGGCAGTGACAGTGGCGATGGAGGTGGTGGTGGTGGCGGTGATGATTGTAGTGATAGTGGTGATGATGATGGAGGTAGTGACGGTGACGGTAGGGGTAGCGGTTACGATGACGATGACGGTAACGGTGGCAAAGACGGTGGTGGAGGCGGTAAAGGTAGAAGTAGATTTAGCGATGAAGGAGATGGTAGCAATGATGGTGATAGAGCGGTGGCGGTGAAAGTGGCAGTGGCGGCAGCAGTGGCAATGATGGTGACGATGGTGGTGGCGGTGGTAGCGATGATGGCGGTGGTGGTGGCGGCGGCGGCGGCGGTGGCGGTGGCGGCGGCGGCGGCGGCGATGGTGGCGACGGTGGCGATGGTAGTGACAGCAGCGACGAAGGCGGTAGTGGCTGCAACTTTACTCGCGATTACGTTTACACCGTTGCGCGCAACTGCATCGAACGATATGCGGACGCGGCACGCGCGAAGAGGTAAAGAAAGAAACGACGAGAGAAATGTTCGTTTTATTATTTGTGACCGGTGCGTGATGTTTCAGATCATTTGGATTAAATTTAGTTTGCGTAGGCACTTTCACGTAATTGAGAACCGAAGAATGAGACAGATAAATAGACACATAGATTCTTCCTTTTCTTCTTCTTGTTTTATTTGAATCTCCGTCCGTTGAACAAAGTAACACGTCAAAACACTGATTTTATAAATTATTTTACTAACGATAGCGAGAACGATGACGAGTGACGACGATAACGATAATGGCACTGATGGTAATAACAACGATGAGACTGATAGTAATTACGATGATAATGTGTGCGTGAGACGACAACGACGAGTGAAGTTTAAGGCTCGGGCGCAGCGTTTTGATATCGTGTAGTGCCTACATAGCCGTGATGCATAAATTGGACTGTCTCACTGAAAGAGCGGTGCAATGGTGCAAACTCCACAAAACCGAAACCAGTTTCTTTGCGCCCGCCGTCGGAATTGCGCCCTAGTCCAATCCGATTCAACCGCTCACCTCTCTTCACAGGATATACGGGCTCCGCCTTACTCAGGATCGTCACAAGCACCGAATCGCCCCGTGCGCTCTGTTTTCAAACCCGACGAAGATAACTGTCGAACTCAAAGATCTTCAAATGTTACTCCGTCTTTTATTACGCTCTACGGAGATGCATAGAAATATTTCATACATTAGAGTCCATACATTTTAATTAGGTGAAAATAGATAAATAGTATTTATGTTTATGTATATTACCTCTTTAAAAAATTTTCCTTTTTTAATTTCATTATTTTAAGAATTTGTCAAGCGTTTTATCCTCTTCTACACATAAATGGCTTAACATAAAATCTAAAAATTTGATAAGGTCTGTAATATATAGAATCACCGCATTTTTCTGCATTAATTAACTTAATATCATTTTATATGTTGTAATTCGAGCTTCTCAGTCTAAATTATTATCGCATATTCGAGAAGATACTAAGGAAAATATAACATTTTCTGTTACGTTTTATGTGAAAGTACAAAAATAGGTAGAGATTACTATATTAAATTTTTCTAAACTTTCTATTCCAAAAATAATCTTGTGCAATTTGCTCTTTTATGCAGTTTGCAATTCAAGTGTTTCGTTTTTTTTATGATTTACGTCGACCATGAAGATAAATTGTCAAATATTATAACATAAATTAAAACATTTAAATTGTATGTCGTTTCTTTTACAAATATAAACTTAAATAGTTAATTTTTTATATCATTTTCGTTATGCAGAAGGGATTTATCTGTAGCAAAATTTTTACTCCAAAAAATTTCTTCATGCGATACACAGTCATGTAAAACTCTACAAAATATGGAAACTGATTATTTAGTAAAATGTTTTCCTCTATTTAATTATTATCAAAACATTATTGCATTGCATCTTAAGATTTCAATAAAATAAGAGAGAAAAATAAAAAATAAAATAAGCATATATTTCCTTCTTACGAAACAAGGCAATGCCAAGAAACTTCTTTTTTTTTTTCAAAAAGTAAAATAAGAGCTTTTGATTAAATTGAAACGGCGAAGTTACAAAAATAGCTTCTCTCTATCTATCTCTCTTATAATTGCGTAAATTACGCGCGGTGAACTGTTGCTGCACATGTATCTGCAAGCATATGTGCTCTCGGCACGTCTCTAATGCATGTTCGCTTCATCGAAACGTCGATCTCAGCGGGCGGAATCAGCTAACGATATTATACGGCCCTGCGTGCAAACCGTAAGCGGTACAGTGTGGTCCAACTAAGCGAGAGCAAGAATATGTCGACTCACTCGCTCTCGCTCTGCAGAAACCTGTTCGGCTTGGAACTTTTCTATTTTCTTGGCGATTATTTTTATCTGGTAAGAATCGCATGCAGGCAAGCAGATAAGCAGGCAGACAGGCAACCAGGCAAGTAAGCAGGCAGACGAGCCAGCCAGGTGTCGCACTACGTCGTGTTGTGCCACATCGGTTTTGCCGGAAGCGGGCCATTCTGAAAACTACCAACCAACAGCCGGCTAGTAGGCAACGTTCTTGCTACAAAAATTCTTCTCGAACATCGTCACACGCCGTTTGCCGCGCACCTTCCTTTTCCTGTTTCCCTTATTTTATTCTCCCTCTTTTTCTTTTTGCCTCTTTCCTTGATCGCTCTTTCGTCCTTCTTCCTTTCTTTTAATTTTCTCTTTGTCGTGTTTGCTACTTCCTTCGTTTCTTCCCTGCCCCCCCCTCTCTCTCTCTCTCTCTCTTTCTCTTTCTTTCTTTCTCACATACACATTTTTTTTCTTATTTCTCTTTCTATATTTGGATTCTTAGCCGTCTTTGTCACATTAATCGATTGTCTGCGCCGTACAAATAATATATCTTTCTGCAGTCCTCACGCCCCATGATCGTGAAGATTGAAATTTAAGCAACATTAACGAATTTCTATCAATTTTTAAAAAGTTCTTATAGCTATGGTTTGTGCCATGCTACTTATTTATGCGTATTTACATATATTCGTATATGCGTTTTGCAATGCAAAATGTAGCATTCGGGCATCGATAAAATCGTATCACGTAAAACAAAGCGCTTTAACCATGACATAAAACCGTAAATTTAGTATAAAATTGAAAATAATAATAATTAAGATAAATGTATTCATATTTACATCCATTTTAAAAATTAACGAATAGATTTAAATTGTATTATTTAAACAGACGTATAATAAGTAGAATAAAGTTTTTTATATGCGATAATATAAAATAATTTGATTAAAATGAGATAATGTAAAATATAATTTTACAATAACAATAAGTTAGAAACAAAAAATCTCAGCGAAAATTAGCACTTAAAAAATATTATGCTAGAAAGAAAAAGTAATAAGCATAATTGTTTTTGAGGTCGCTATAATATCCAATCTGCATTTAAACTTTGAAAACTTAAAATAGCAGATATAATATGGTGGTCAAAATATATGTATATGTGATTTAAAATTGTTAAAAATTAATTATATTAGCTAAAACTTTATATATTTAAGGATTTTAAAGACTGCTGATTTCAAATCTATTGTAAAAATATATGAATAATATTGTCAAAATATATATCAATGTATTGTCAAAATTTGAAAATTTAAGATGGTGGATACAATATGGCGATCAAAATGACTAACAATTATAATGAAATCTCGGAATAATATACTATGCGGGGCTCTAGTCTGCTATAACGAGATTACCTCCACTTCCGTCAAATTCAGGACCATATCCGCGGCGCGAGACGTCTACAAACACGTTCTTTCAAATACATCGCTGAGAGAGAACATGTCGCCCATAGATCTACGCGCTTGGATCGTTACCCTCACGCTATTCGGGAGTAGCCTAGCGCGTATGGAAAGGATGCCGTCAGCTATTTCGAGATTCCACTGTACTACATATAAGTCTGAAATCTGGAAACAAGAAAAATGTTATGTTTCGCGGGATAGATCTCGAAATTAAATTGACTGTACTAATTTTATTCGGACTGGTCGCTTGTATCGAAAGCTTGTATCGATATGATATCAGAAAAAAAATACTATTAGATTTTTTTTATTACAGTTTTAGTTATGAAGATATTTTAATTGAAAGCACAATTTTGACACAAAAGTTTGACATGAGAATAAACTACTTGGTAGCGTTTCAAAGATACGTAAAACGATGCTATATGTCGTGGACATATAGTCGCATAGCCAGTTACTTTTTATATGTACATATGTTTTGGCGCTAAGTAGCAATAACAAACAAACATCCATGCTCCCAAGAGACATTACAGCGTATTCTTTATCCGAATGATAGGTTTTTGCGAACATAATTTGAAAATACTTGATTATATTCTTTCAAATAAGTTTAGTTTTTCTCAAAAGAAGAATACTAAAAAAATATACTTGGATACATTCTTCACTACTATAGTAAAATCGCGAGCGATATTATTCGATAGTTTCAAATATCGATGAATATTGTTGAAACAATATCAGATACAACACTATCAGTACAAGATATATAGCGTGAGCCCAAGAGCATGTGCAGAGAATCAAGTGATGCTCGACCGCACAGCAGCTGAGAGGACGACGAGAATTTTTCCCGACGACAATACTTAATGACCGCGCTGTGCAAGTTCGGTTTGTTTCCCACGTTAATATCGGCGATCCACACCACGAATGCAGACAGTAAGGAAGATTTTTCTCAGGAGAGACCCCCTCACAAGCTAGCATAAACAGTGTGGCATTAACATCGGCCCCCCAGCAGACCTGCAGTGAGTCGTGCTGCCTTCTCCTCACTCGCTTTCGCGCAAACTCGTTTGCCTCTGAGAGAAATTCTCCCTTTTTCAGGGATAAATAGGGGTGAACCTGTATTACAGGACAATAACCATCGCTTGGCAGAACAGCCGTGCGTAATTCGGACGAAAAAAAGGAGGAGCAGAGGACGTAAAGGCGGAGCCCGGTTTCTTCAAGGGGTCGTTGGACTAGGGCGCTATGTAGATTATCATAATAAAGGTCGCCTAAATGTTATCTCATATTAAGTCATACTTTTGTTTTCTTCTTACGCTTTGGAAACTATTCTTATGCACGTAGTAAGGGAAGTGCATTTCTTTATTTCTGCGCACCCGGTATAATTCGAGAACATGCGGACACTGTCATGTGGTGAGATGATGAAACGTAATGCAAAAGGTCTTTGGATGAAACCGACAATTGGGAAGATTTATTTCAGAGCGGCTAATTTTTGATTGCTTTTTTTTGAATCGAGAGTTTGGAACGTGCGCGAAAACCTATTTTAAATTAGCTTAATAAACGCGGAAATTTCGAAGATGTTAAACTTATTTTACGGAAAAACAATATTTTCTAAAAATTATCTTTGATAGGCAATATTTTTAAATAGTATTCTAAATAAAAGAAATTTTGATAATTATTCGTACCGGTGAATCTAGCATTTTATTTCAATCAAAATTCTATATTGCTGAAAAAAAAGGAATATTTAATTAAAAAATGCGCAAAATATAAAAATAATTTTTTAGAAATGGTTTTTCATATCAAGCGATGCGATAGTGTTGCGACATCAAGCTCATACATACATAAAAAAATGTCTAAACTGGTCGTACAACTATATTCATGACATACCGTCGAGACACTACTAAATAATAGCTCCGAAATTCTGATGTCAAATGTATTTTCAATTAAAATATCTCCAAGGCTGAAGCTGTAATAAAAAATTTAATAACATGTTTTTCTAATGCCATACAAACATTCGATCGAATAAGGCTGATATTACATTCATACGACAAAATATTTGTCGGACATATCGGTTGGCTATGAAATAGAGAATTCTTAAAATCTCGATAGAGATTCTAGAAATTCTCTATTCAATAACCAATCGCGCTACATCCGACAAATTCGTCGTACGACAAATGTAATATTATCCTAAGATTAGTACAGTCAATTTCCCGAAAAGTAAAGGCCTATTCAAACGAATTTGCATAGTCGCATAAACATATGCGTAAGGAAATTGATTGATACATTTCCTTATATATTTGCTTATGCACCAATCAATTTCCATGCATGTATTTGGGCGACTATGCCAATCCGTCTGGATAGACCTTTAATGCAGCATATATCAATGATGACGTCACAATCGGAGCACTCGCGGAAACTTGTGAGACACACATCACACATCGCTCGTTTGGGCGTTGTTTACTCCCAACGTTCATATGCGATTTCATTGAAAGCTTGTAAAAGTTGTAAAAGTATTTAAAAATCGATTCTCCTTGCAAATATACCCAAAAAGTGCTGAAGACTTTGTGTTATAACAAACCTTTTTAATTTATAATACAACATAAAACAGGCTTACTACGAATTGTAGAAAGGGGAAGAAAGCAAAGATGCAAAGTGTTCACTGAAGCTATAAAGTGTTTTATAAAATAGGTTTTAGATTCGACATCACGATCCGGATTGATTCGATCAAGAAAAGAAAAAGAAATAGAAATGATTACCCTTTCGCGCGCGGTGACGCCGATCATTGTCGCGTGCTGGTTATACTATCAGCTGGGCGTTGTCGTGGTCGGTCAGTACGAATGGCACACCCGCGACGCCTTCGACGAGATTCGCATGCGAATGGACAAGGTGAACGAGGACAACTGTCAGATTCAGCATCTCGGCGATTTGTATCTGCCGGAAGATGCGGTGTCACATCAGCCCGACATCAAAGATATCAATATCAATCCCGTGTTTCCGAATCGCACGGCCTTGTTGCACCTTCATAATATGGCGCTTAGCAGGAGCTTCTTCTGGAGTTATATTCTGCAGTCGCGATTTATCCGGCCAGCGATCAACGACACTTACGATCCAGGCATGATGTACTACTTCCTATCTACGGTGGCGGATGTCTCCTCCAATCCGTACATCAACGCCTCGGCCATCTACTTTTCGCCCAACATGTCCTATTCGCCATCCTATAGAGGTTTCTTCAATAAAACTTATCCTAGATTCGCACCTCGCACCTTCAGAGCGGACGACTTCAATGACCCTATACATCTAGAAAGAATATCTACTAGGAATACATTCACCGTGCAAGATTTAGGAGCATTTCCCACTACTAGGCTCAGCGATGACTACACTACTGACTTTTATCGTATAAACGAATGGTATCTCAAAGCAATTCTTTTTACTAGTGAAAACTATAAAATTTAAAATACATTAAATTTGAATAATTAACATTAATTCATATATTTTATGGGACATTTAACCTATAGTTATTCTATATTTTACTTACAGGTACAAAAAATGGTTACCAGATAATGTGGATAAAAGACATGATACTAAAACAACTTACCAAGTTGAAATTCGTTATGCCAATAATACAAATGAAACATTTTCTTTCCACGGTCCACCTGGTAATACAGGAATTATAAACAATTTAATAATCTGAATTTCATACTCATTTTATATACATTATAATTTACTTTGCAGGTGCTGATGAATATCCTGGTCCTGTAAAATGGACAAGACCGTATTTTGATTGTGGTCGATCCAATCGATGGGTTGTAGCTGCAGTAACACCTATAGCAGATATCTATCCGCGACATACTGGTTTCAGACATATTGAATACCCAACGTATGTTAAATTAATATAATGATACAATAAGTTTATAAATTGTAATAAATAAATAAATCTGTTAGGTATACTGCTGTCTCAGTGATGGAAATGGACTTTGACAGAATAGACATAAATCAATGTCCCAAGGGTAAAGGAAACAGTGGTCCTAATAGATTCGCCAATACCGCCAGATGTAAAACTGATACTACAGAGGTATATATTTAAATATTAGGATATAAATCAAATTACATTCATTAAAAATACACACTATATATATATATATAGAGAAACTGGAATTCAAGTAAGTGTTCTCGTCTGTGTGCGATCATATGTGGAGGATATGTCTTCGTATGTGTATATGTATGTGTTATATAAGCGCGCGCACACGCAAGAGAGCATATGTATCAGAAAAATCCGATGTGAGAGACACGCTATGGAGACACGAAACCAGTTCCATAATAAAAACGAGATCCGAAACTGCATGTTTTAGATAGAGTTTACTTTGATAGAATTTTAATTTAAGGCTTAGTTAAAAAAATGGCAAAAATTGAAAATTTGCAAAAAATTATGACTCGACATTTTTGCTGAGGAAAAATCATCTCCAAATGATCTCAAGAATCTGCTTTTAATAGGTAATGCGGTGGGACACCCTGTATAAATTCAAAAATATTGAAAACGAGTATATTATTTGTTGTATTTCCAAAATATTTTCTGCATATGATAATTTCATTTATATTTGTGGAGGATAAATTTTACCTAATTTATTTCTACAGTGTGTACCCATTCTTGGGAGAGGATTTGAGACAGGTGGATATAAATGTGAATGTAAGCAGGGCTTTGAATATCCATTTGAGGATTTAATTACATATTATGATGGGCAATTAGTCGAAGCTGAATTTAATAATATTGTAAATGATCAAGAAACCAGGTACTTATATCTTTTTATAAATAAATAAATAATTTTATAAATAATTTTATAAATATTTGAAAATTATTATTAAGTTGTTATGCGCGTTTGTTTTAAAATTATCTATTAATGATTACATTATATGATGAATAGTGATTTATATAGGTTCTATACATTGTTGTTTTAGATATGATATGTTTAAATGTCGATTGGCTGGTGCTTCGTCAATTCAAGCCAGTTGGGTAGTTCTACTACCAACCCTGATAATATTTTTTCAAAATCGAAGAAGGTAAATATAAAATATATACATACATACACATATACACAGTGTGTTTGACTTAAATGTTACACGTGCATGTGACACTTAAAAATTTTCGTTTAGGTCTCATTATCTAGATTTTCTTTTTTAATTTTCATTTAAAGAATTTTTTTATAACTTTATTAGTTAAAAAAATAATCTTAACACTTCAATTCAATAAAATCAAACACATTGTGTATATATATATATACACACGCACACACAATAATATTAATGAAGATCTGAGAAAAAATATATATATTATATATATATAGTTCGTAAGATTCAATATTTTGTAAAACACTCTATTGCTGCATTTCTATTGCTGCTTTCTACATCAGCAACTGTAATCCATGCCGTCCATTATAAATGTAAATTAAGTTATTATTACTAAAAATAGATAAATGAAGATTACAAATTAAGTCATCGAATAAAATTTTTGTAATGGCAGTACAAAATAACAACTTGTTATATTTTTATATCTATAATATATTCTCCGAATGTAATTGAACTTTTTATATAAAGATTTTTAGGATTTTTATATATATGTATATTCAAAGATATTTATATATTTTCTTATATTAAAAACGCTCCTCCTCCTCCCCCTTATAATGCTAAAGGCAGTTTTTTTACAGACAAAGTATGATGTAATTCACAAAACTTTCATTATAAACATTTTTAATGTTTTAAACATTCATATATTTTAGAGCTTTATATAATTTCAATTACTTAGAAATGTAATTTTGGAAAAAAATATATATTATAAATGTACCATCTCTAGAGAGAGAAAATATATATTATAAATGTACCATCTCTACAGTTAAAGCTATAATTTCAAAATAATTTAATTTATATGTATGTATTATATATGTATTTATATATTAATATATATTTTATACCTTTTATGTAAAATATATGTAATACATTTACGTACGTTTATATCAATATATGTAATTTTTTATAGAAGTTTACTTCAAACTTTAATTTATGTAATAATTAATTTCTACATTATATTTCACTAAAAATAATTGAAAAATATATAATACATTTTAGTAAAAAGCACTAAAAATTTCTCTTGAGTGATTAATAATTACCCATGTTATTCACATAAATGTAATAAATTGACAAAAAGTTAACAAAAAAAAAAAAAAAATGTTTACAATATACTTAATATTGTTAATCAAACATTCTTATATTTGTATTTTATATATTTGTATGTTCAACAAGTTTCTCTCTTTCTCTCCCTCTTTTTTTCTCTCTCTCTCTCTCTACCATATGTATAAGACAATTTTCGACTAATGTAATATTTTGCTTTTTGGCAAGCAAATATCATCTATTTCTTAATTTACTATTCTTTTTTATTGAGATAATGGCACTTAATAAATCTACAACCTTGCGTAATTTGTGCACCTTCATTAACAAAATGGCAGGCAAATAGAAGCATATTGCGTGGTTGCACCTTGATTGCAAATCTCATGAACATTGCTGAATATAAACATAAGGCTGAAAAAGATTAACATAGAATCTTAAAAAATTGATATTAATAAAAGATAGATATAATTACAGATTTTCTAACAGAGCTATCATTTTGATAAATTTCATGATAATATAGACTAGATAAATATTTGTAACACACACACACACACACACACACACACACACACACATATTTATTGTCTATTTTACAGTTGAATAAAACTAATAAAATTAAAAAACAATTTTTTGTGATAGTAAAAATCATAATCGTCAAGTCATTGTTCTAATTTTACTGATTTTTTAAAATCTTGCATATAATCTCTATATACATAAGATAAATATCAAGTAACTAAAACTTTTGAAAACTAATAAAAATGTATATTTTATACAGATCAATTCTTTAAAGTTGCGACAAACTTAAAGGGATGTTAGATAGATTTTGGTAAGACTTCTGTTTTCTCATTGCAGCCATATATTGCAATGAGTTATTTAATACAAATTGTTTAATTTAAAGTTCCTGATTTCTTTTATTGACATCATATTAAATTATGAAGTTAAAAACGAGAAATCATAAAATTTTTGCTTGCAAAATCATTGGAATAAATAAGTTATTTTGGATGCAATTTTGTACAATAATATCGATTAAATAATTTCGAAAATTCCCTTTTTTATCTTGCAATAATAAATATCGTATAACTCATCTGTATTTGTTTATATTTCCAACGAAAATGGACCTTATGATGATTGACAGAGCTATTTATTAATTCACGAATCAAAAAAGGAATTTTCGTACAAGTGTATTTTACTTATCCATAACCAATCCGTGATTGAATTAAAAAAAAAACTTATTTCCATGTATTTCGCAAGAAAAAAAAATTCGTGACTTCTCGCTTCTGACATCATAATTCAGTATGACGGAACCAGAAGCCTTGAGAGAATTCTATAGGGGAAACAAAGGACAGGAAAAATGTTTCAATGATATTTACATATATACTTGCTTGTAATCTTGAGTTAAAAAATATCAAAACGAATAAAAATTATCAATAAATTAGACAAATAAGAAATATTATAAAAATCGAACAAAGATTCCTTTGAATGTTTATCCCTCTCTAAAAATGAACCAAGATAGAATGTGTGTGCAAGGATCATTAAACTAACCGAAGGTCATTTTTCCACTGATGTACTTGGGATCCCTCCGGATGTCACTAATGGCAGCAATCGGTATCGCCCAATTAGCAACTGGACCCCAGAAATGCGTGCTGGAAGAAAAACGTCATTCGCACGTGCAAATTTTGATGTGCATGTACCGTGGGAATTATATAAATAGCGATAACGGGCAACAACCAGCAGCACTTGCCTCATAAAATAGTCACGAGTTTCCTTACTCCTAAGGATCTTTACGAAACGATTCATTCTCGGATGCCTATGTTTCTCGTACCGAAGAGAAAAGAAAACTATTGCTATTTAACGAAATACGTTATTTAAGAAATTCGATGAAATCGGATAATGTGTGCTTAGAAGTGGAACATTGAAAAGAAACGAATCTTTGGGAGGATGTTCGTAGCCAATCGCTGCTCGCGGTTAAAGAAAAGTTAAATAAGTAACATAATGTTGCATAATCCCGGATAAACAATTACACAATCGGTAGCATCCCATTTGTTCACGTTGTGATCTTGTGATTATCCACGGTTAAGCAGCTAGTGCTTGAGAAGGAACTGCACGGTTCAGCTACGTCAAAAGTTAATAATCTAATACATTTAAAACTGACCAATCATAGCTATTCCTCTGAAGAATGGAATGTTGTGATTGGCCAGTTTTAGAATTAGGGATGTATTAAACCTGATTAAGGCCGTATTCATAGTCCGTTCTTATATTCAAGATCGTCTTAAGTACGATCTTAAGATACTATGCGGCCATTTCATTGGTTGAATGGGATCTTAAGACGACCCAAGACCACACTTAAGACGATCTTGGATATAAGAACGGACTATGAATACCGGCCTAAGAATGATGTGTAATGTAGTCACACAGACATTCCATTCTTCAAAAGAATAGCTATGATCAGCAAGTTTTAAAACTACAGATATTATTAAATTTGATCAAAGGTGACATATAAACGTAGGGATGTATATCGATTGGACACAATACTTATTGGCCAGTTGAAAATGAGGTCCTGTGATTGGTCAATCGTTGTCTGGTTACCCTAGGAATCGGTCGATATGATTGGGCGCATTTAATGAACTTAATAGTTGGGTAACAATCGAACATGATTGGTTCTTACTTTTAGAACTAACAAATCAACATCGAGTGTTGACAAGACAACATGCTTAACTATTGAGTCCACTAAATGCGTCCATTGTGTCTAATCGCACTGTCCAAATGAACCTTTCCCTAAACGTAGATATAGATATACCTAGACCAAGTATTTGAATCCCAAAGTGAAATTATATCTTTGAATATCCTTGTCTTTTTCTTTAAAGCAGCGCCCATCAATCTTTTAACAATCAATATATGTATTATAACGCTACTAAGGGCTGCTTTGACCAAACTCCAGTTAATTTAATCGTTGATTAATTTATAGACGACCAAAAGCAGAATTTTAAAATTTGAGCAGCCTCTCTCTTTCTCTCTCTTCAATCTTAACTTCCCTTTCTTTCTATCTCTCTCATTTCCCCTTCGTCTTCCTTTCATTCCGTTTCTTTTCTTTCTCTCCTCCTTTTTTCCTTCTCCCTCTACTTTCAACATAAATAAATAATTAAGATTATTAATAACAATTATTAAATAACTCATCTGAATAACTCGATTAGACACTGGTAGTTTTTTGCACATAAAATTATATATATCAATATTGCATGCTTTTTAGTTATGACCTTATATTAAAAGAAAAAAAAAACGGCAAAAATATATTTTTGAAAATAATGGTAAATATATATCAATTAAAGAAGTCCGTCTCAATAACTTTGATTTTGACATACAGGATGTTCCATTTTGATGGAAGCAGCTAATATATATCTCCTAAACTTGACGTCAAACAAAAATTGTTTCAGAAAAATTTATACAGTTTTGAGAGAGTGAAAAGTTGATAATCTTGAATTCTAAGTAAAGTCATTTTTCAAAGCTATGTGAAGGTCAAACTAATTTTTTTTTAATGTGAAATCAACGTGGTTTTTTTATATAAATCGATTCTCTTCGCAATATTCGTTGTAAAAAGCTGTAAGGATCTTCAGCTTTTTTTCATTAAAATGAGACATTAAAATGGATTGTATGATATGTTATCGTAATCTTGAGTAACATTTGAAAAATTTTAGCCATCGCTTGTGTTTATTAAAAAATTATTAACCATTAAAAGTGCGTGTAAAGTAAGATTTAAATACAGATTGCCAAAGAAAAATTTAATATATTTGTGACACAATTTATACGGATATTAGTACACATTATACATATATATTTGGGTAAACAAATCTTTATATAGAGAATATTCAAAAATATGTTGTAGTTCGAAACACTCCACAATTTCACAAAAATTTATAATTTTCTTTTTATTACGCAAAAAATATTTATTATAAAATATACACGATACAACTCTCTCATTTGTCCGGTACTTTTAGTGTGTGACAAGGTCTACAATTGTATGGTGTCACACAGGTTCCACCTCATATGCTTTCAATGTGATAAGGATATAATTAATAACTGTATAATTATAGACCTCATCGCATTTAAAGCATCAGGCGATGTGAAATAATCTCGCTATGCGTGAAAAATTGCAAACTTATATAAAACCGTACAATTATAGATTCGTCATATTGAAAACATCAGGTAATGTGAGTTGGACTTTACTAGGTGTGAAAAGTAGTAAGCCTATGTGGAAAACCCTTCGTCAACCATATTAATCAATTTAAAACATATTTAAATATCCTATATAAAAATGTGTGTTTATTTATAGGTATATTCACGCGTATAGTATGCGCAATAATATTCATGTAAACTGTGTTCAAAATTAAATTTTTCAAGATCTATATTCGAACTTTACTTTATATGGACTTTTATTTGTTAATAATTTTTTAATAAACAACGAAAGCTAAAACCTTTCAAATGTTACTCAGAGCCATGATATTGACAATATGTATATGTATCTCAAGATTGAGATTATTGATGCTGGCTCTCCTAATCGAGAGATATATGTACCTCGAAAAGTATAGGTATTTATAACGATTAAAATCGTTCGTACAGCGATATATATATACATCAGTTCCTTGTTACTGTAAAGTTCTTATTCTAAGGACATTAGTTACAAATGGATGGCAATTTCGTTGCGATACATTGAGTTATAATATAACAATTGATGATATAACAATTAAAATGTTCACTTCATTTCGTTATATTAATTTTGCTTTAACGACCTTATTGTATAACAAAACTTTTGTTTCAATGTTTTAGATTAATTATTACTGTTAATAAAATTTTCACAATGCGTTGACAGATATATAATAAAAAAGTTATAAAAGTCGTTTTAATGTATACGATATGCTAAGTAAATTCGTAATATTTCTTAGAATTTTACACACACACAACACATTTTATACACACACACAATATTAAAAACCGTTAAAATGATCAAAAGCTGCATTGAAATATGCGATGAACACATATCACACTCATTCAAAAATCTATACATAAAATAATCAATATTTTAATAATAATAATTATTTATAATAATTCTTCATAGAATTTGGTAAAAGATGTTAAATAATGTTAAATAAGTCCGATACATTTAAAAGTCACATATATTTCTAATTATCTTCAATATCACAGTACTTGTTGAAACATACTAAATCGGGTACTTTCGAATGTGGCAGCCAATACAAATGGATGAAAATGGCAAGCAAAATATGTTTTTTTAATAAACATGTTTTATAACAGATCTTTGCATATAATTCGCAAGATACGGGGCAAAACTGTTTGCGCGATATCATTGGCATCGCACAAACACAATTTCTGTCTCCTAACTATGTCTTGTAAGCTTACTTTCCTCTCTCTTTGTGTTGATGTTTATTACGTAAAAATATAGAAATTGCTGCCAGCGTGGCCCGGCAGGCCGTCCAGTTGTGCACTCGCGTGTTCTACGATATATATATCATATAAGTTCATATATATTTTGATATATATAACTCTTAATTATATGTTAATATTTCAAGAATTAAATATAAAAACAAGACAAGAAATATCAAAAGAAAACAGATCGTTCAAACTTTATTTTTCGAGCTATAATAAATTTTAAAAAATACTTCAAATTCGCCTTTCGTTATAAGCATGTTCTGATATGACTTTATTAACATATATTTTATGGTATTTCTTTAGGTATGATTATGAATAACAAAAACAGTTTGATACTGTCCTCAATCCGTCAATACTTCTATTTCAAATAATAAGATGCTAAAATATTTAGATGTCTTACGTTTATATATACTTTTATTAAAATGACAAATATGATCCATAAACAAAGATATAAGCTGAATTTGAAATTATTCGAACATCTGATTCTCTCTCTCCTTCCCAAAAAAAAACAAAAATCATTTTTAAGATGTACCGCAACATATATTGCAGCAGAAGGCAATTATTTTAAGCATTTTGTTTAATTTATTATAATTGAAAAAATAAAATTTGGACGATTTATATATAACATTTTTTCTTATTTTGTACTCTACATTCACTTCTTCAAGTATTGACACATAATTAAAAATTATCTTATCTCAATATAAATGCCTAACTATTAACCATTTTGTTTCCTTCCATCTCTCTTTTATATCCATATTAATATATTATTATACTCACCGATATATCCAAAATAAATACAAATCACTAAAAAAAAAAAGAAAAAAAAAAGAAGAAATTAACTCATTTCACTGTTCATGTAGTCATGTACTCTGACCATATATTGTAGAATATAAAACGATCACGTATGAAAATATGTCATGCGATATGTACAGTAATTAATGTTATTGAGATGTGTCTATATTGTACACTATTGTTTACTAAAACCGCAACAGTTAAAAAAAAATACTAAATTATAGTGAATTTTGCATAAATGTTAGGACATCATTGTAAATGCCCATTTTTCTCAATTTGCATTTACACATGTATATATAATTCCTTTCCGCGGAATTCTTAAATATAAAGATCTCGTCATAAAAATACAGTACTGTTAATACACAGTATTAATATACAATATAAGAGCATCCATAAAAAATATACATGCTATAATAGATTCTTTCATAATTTTTTCACAATTTTCAAATACTATATAGATTTATCGATCAGACTGATAAGCAAACTTAATAATGCAAAAATTTAAAAAGTCACACAATATGTTTAAAAAAAGAGTCATCTTTTTTAAACATTTGCGTGAACATTTTCGACCGGGGAAAAGTTATAAATCCCAATCACAATGTGTTTTCCGATTGTAAAATCACTATGCAAGAATCCGATATGATCTTATATAACAAGGATATGGATTTAATCATCTTCCAGGAAAAAATTTCCGGCAGCTTGCCGAGAGTAGATGAAAGCAAGCTAACTATAGTAACGTTTTATGAAATCGGTTATTTTAATTTGGACATCAAATAAAGCTTTGAGATATATTAGCTTTAAAAATTATGGGAGACAGAATAACTCGTGATTTTATAATCAAGGAGAAAAGTGATCTTTTAATCGGGGAACACTATATGTTTTTGATATGAACAAGATTCATGAATCTTCGTAAGCTTGATAGCATTTTTTCATTATCTGCTATTTCCCCGTTCGATATTTGTCCGTTAATACTTCTCTGATATTTTATCGTCCAAAATATTTCACTCTTTATAACTTTCCGTCCGACATTTTATTATCCAAGATATTTCGCCGTTTATCGTATTCATCTAACACAGTATTCTTTAGTAAATTTTCTGATTGTGTATAATCTTTTATCGCATCTTCATAATTTCTTGATGAATTTCTTTATACAAAAGATCGATTGTATATTGCGTGTATAATAAAAATCACAAAAAATAAGCTCTCGCTCGATTGTGTAATTAACAGTGAAAATATTCTGTGCGATATTGCTCATTGCTCGGCAAGTAATTCAATGTCGAATTGTGTCTAAATTCTTATTTAAGTATCATATTACACCATACAGGAAGCTTTTAAAATGGTTACACAAAATATATTAATATAAATATATTTATATAGTGACCTAATCACGCTCATCACGAATAATGGATTGATTATGTGTAATTTTTTATGTGCTAATTAAAAGGTGACGATGATAATAGGGGAAAGGCGCCAAAGAAAATTTAATATATTAAGAAGATTGAGATTAATTTTTCCATAATTCATTCTATAAATGTTTATGGATGAAATATATACAGAATGTTGATATGAATTTATATATATATCAATCAGATAATCGAATTTTTATCATTTAATAAACAGAAACCAATCTCTTTCGGAAACTTAAAATTAATTATATAATATCTCTCTTGAGATGTCATTCACCACGAAAGAGACTTAATTTTAGTTGTCATTCTGATAGTGCGCATTTAAAAATATACTATATCATTGTTGATATTTGGCATTTTTTTTATAACCGTTTATTAAATAATAAAAATATCTCAGATTGTGTTTAGTCCATATGTAAATAAAACTGCCAAATATTCTCTATTAAAAGGTATTTTACTTTTTCTGCATTCTATGTACGCTTCAAAATGACAGCTGATTAGTTTCAGCAACTTCCCGTGGGACACCCTATATCGAGATATCGTCTACAAATGAAATCTGTTTTCAATTTCTTCTGCTACAATTTTTTTTATAATTTAGTTATTGTAAATTGCACATATAATCAGATTTAACATCATTTCTTTCAACTTTAACACCATATCTATAAATCTCAAAAAATATACCTATCTTAGATTTTCTTCTCCATAACAAATTTTACTCTTCTATAAAATATCCAATTTTCTTAATATCTTATTATTCTACTTGGACACAATTTTTCTGTATTAATTTTTCAATGAATCTCATCATTGACATTATCATGAGTTAACAAAACATTAAAGAATCTGATGTATTCTTTTTTCATTCTATATCATTCGTAGTTACCTATTTAATATTTCTCACATACAATCTTCTCTTAAATGTGTTTTTTAATAAAGATATACTTTTTTATTTAGTTCTATTCTTCACACTAGTCCTTCATCTATCATTCTTTTCATGATTTTTTTTAAAAGCAATAAAAATAATATGGGTCTTACTTTTTTAGAGATCTTAGGCGTGATTAAACTTTATAATATTTCCATTTCAGGCATTTCTTTAAACATCACACGAGAAAAAAATGTTTTCTCTTGTATAATCTTTGTCCATATATATAGAAAAAATAAAATAATTAAAAAGTAATTAGAAAAATGATTTTTCATTTTTTTAAGGAAAAATTTAAAGTGAAAAAACTGTCTTTATATAATGAGATATAATAAATTTATATATTTTCCGCATTTTTCATCCTATAGAACCGAAATTAACGAAATTTTATTCTATATAATTATATACAAAATATGTCCATATATTATTGTCTTTCTCTTATATTCTTTGTGTAATTATACATATATGAAAAATAATGAGCAAAATAAATGAAAAGAATCTAGAAAAATATTTTTGCAGTTTTTTAGAAAAAATTAAGTTTTTTCAATTAGATTATACAATATGTTACATATAATTATATATAGTTATATTTACCATATATATGTATATAAACAATTTTTTCTCAGTTTCTCACTCAGTTTGTCTATTCTTACATTTTATTTTTTTATTTAAATTTTGGCTATTAACTTTTTATGGATTAAATTAAGTTAAAGTTAGGGTTAGATTATTTAAGGTATAAGGAATAAAAGTGTTTCAATGTTTCTAATATGTTTCAATATTTCTAATAAGCTAATATAATGAGTGATGGATGCAATCCTGTACTATTTCCAGTAGTTATTTCCAGATTCTCTAATAGTTATCCCTTTTTTGCACGTTTTCCCACTATTCACATTTATTGCGTGATTATGCCTGCGATCGGGAAGATGCTAGAGATGCTTCGAAGCGTTTGATTGGCTAATCAAAACAAAAAATACAGATTTTTTTTATCCTGATTGATTAATGCAATGCTTCGAAGCATTTCCAGCGTTTTCCCGACCGCAGCCCATTGTGTAAATTAAGAAAGCAAATTAAAAAAAACACGAATAACTATACGTATCTAGCACGGTAAGTTTTCAAAAAACTTTTTTGTGCCATTCACTTATTCATTCTACACATAGTCATATGGTCACGCAATAAATACGAAATAAATTAAGATTAAAAAAGAAGTAGTAACTAATAGGATATCCAGAAATAACTAATTATTATATTTCATTTGTCCATTGAATACTATAGGCTTTTCCATTTAGGGCTACTTCGACCAAAGTCCGATTAATTTAATCGTTGATTAACTTATAGGGCGACCAAAAGCAGAATTTAAAAATTTGTATTATATTATATACGCGAGAATTATATCGTTGGAAATTTTTATGTTGGTCGTTCTGTAAATTAATTAACTATTAAATTAATCGATATTTGATCGAAGTGGCCCTTAGTGACGTTAGTAGATTATAGTTTCTCATTTTCGCTTTCTATTTATTTAATTTAAATCACAATCTTCTATATATTATAATAGACCGCTAACAGCAATGCAAGAGCAGCCATATCTAAATTGGACAGAATATATATATATATATAGGTTGGATTAATATCATAGATTTCTATTAGGATGGATAAAAAAAATAAAATCCCCTATTTTATTACGACTTTCATTACAACTAAAACATAAATTGGTTTTATTGTGTTAAAATAGAAACTAATAACTACTTGTTAATATATCTTTTTAATACTACTTTTTATTATATCTTTTTAATATCTTTGAGAAGATTAATGCATTTCCTACCTTGGCTAGAGTGGGAAGAGTCCCTCTCGGTAAAAATCCGGCTCTTAATGTTTAAATCATTCTTGAACAGCATTAAGTACTGCTGCATCATTAAGGAGGCAATTCGAAGGAAGAGGTCCGGTCTTCTTTTTAGAGAAACCCAGTCCTTATGAATTTTTTTCACGATAATGCCAGATCTCATTCTGCACATCGAACTCAGGAACTTTTGATTGGAACATTTTATGAAGCATTTTTCCTACAGCCCGGATCTGGCTCCTTCCGATTTTCATTTGTTTGAGCCGCTGAAGAAATATCTTGGAAAAAAAAGATTTCAAAATGATGCAGCGATATAGAATGCTATTCGAAACTGGTTTAAACATCAAGAGCCGGATTTTTACCGAGAGGGAATCTTTAAACTCATGTCAGATGGGATAAGTGTACATCAACCTTTTCAAAAGACTATATTGAAAAATAGTCATTAACTTATATTTTAACTATATAAATCCAATTTGTGCATAAGTGGTAAATAAAAGCCATAATAAAATAGGGAATCTTACTTTTTGATCCTAGTAGAAGTATGATATTAATTCAACTTATATATTCCGCTCAATTTAGATATAGCTTGCATATTATCTTTAGTATCGCTGTTAGCGGTCTAGTATCATATAAAGAAGTCTGTAGTGTCAATGACACAAAACTCCGATTAATTCTGTTTTCGCAGTGAATTATGCGTTTCATTTATCATTGGAATTATCAATTTGAATTAGCACGAGTGTTATATAAATGAAAAGTACCCTATGTATATTAACAAGAGCTTTGGCACTCTAAATAGAAAAAGATAACAACATTGGATACTGTTGGATGCATTCAGCGAGTGTAGCTGTTTTGTAATCATTTATAATTTTCTATTGAATGATACTGTAACGATAAGTGCTCCATTAAGTTGCAACATGTTTATTCAGCAGTCTCCTATGTTTCTAATACATTAAAAGTACACTGCATTTAAGTGCAATGTGTTAAATAATATTAAGGATTTTTATTCTGGCAGAACGGCAATTGGGCAGCTCGCACTTTGAAGAGGATACTCGTTAATTTTTGTTTTACAAAAATTTTCCACGTTCTAGAAGGTGAAAATTAATGAGACTATTATATTCATAAAGGTAAGATCTTACTCTACTATCATTATTAATATATCGCAAAACAACGTCCTTCTAATTGTTGCAATGCATTACACAGCATTTTTTTCTTTACTAGATTGCGATCCTCTTTAGGACATATTAAAATTGTAGCATTTAAGCACTTCTACTGAATGCAGCCATTGTCTCTTTTAGTACAATCAGAAATCTTATGTCTTACGGATGTTATAAGTTCGTGTTTACTGTAGACTTATGTAAATAGATCGAGCGCTTCCATTTGAAGCTTAAAGACAACATTAGTAAGAAAAAACAATAGAAAATAAGATGCTTTCCTTGTCTAATTGTGCAATTGGTGTAGAGAAAGAAAGAAAAGAAATAGTTGCCTCACACTCTTATTTTTCTGGTTCCTTTATATCGCCCCTTATCAGAGCATTATGTAATAAAGAAAGCATCTTGTATATTTCTGTCCATCAATTTTATCGAACAACTTTGTTCCCTTAACTGTCACATAAGAATGTTCAGTCTATTATATAAGTCTGATGTTTTTCCTTATAATAACACTCACTAAACTTTTAACAAGGCTTGTATAAAGCTTTCAATTTACATGTACTTAAAAAACAATGACTCGGAAAGAGTCTTTCATTCAGATCACTTTCTCTTACTGAATTCAATACAATTTAAAAAGAACTCTTCCTTATATAACTCATATAGAGAAAAAAATCCGAGAATCTCAAAAGATATTTTTGTTCTTTAAGCATATGTGTATTGAAAACTTTGTATGTAAGTCCTGTTAAAAATTTAATCAGGGTTCACTAAATTTAAGCAAACCAAGATTATTTGTCTTTGTAGAACGTAAGGTAAACTTTCTTCCTAATCTGTACAGAAAGAGACAAAGATTTCCATGTCACTATCCCCTTCGAATAACATTTGGTGCATCAGAACTTCTTCCAATTTGTATTAAATTCAGTAAATTTGTTATACAGGGTGGATCACTAAAGATGTTACAGGCTAATATTTCTGAAACTGAACGAGATATAAAATCTGCCTACACATTAATTTCGCATGTTAATTGCAATGCGAAGTTCCATTTTTACGTCGAATGTCCACTTTGATACCAAACGTTGGAAAATTTCATATCTCGTTCAATTTTAGAGCCTTTATTAGTTTATTTCATTCAATTTCAGAAATAATAGCCTGTAACATCTTTAGTGATCCATCCCGTATAATAGATTTGTTAGACATGCTGATTGACTGCTAGTGCGCAGCACATATTAATGCCTCAATACTTCTGGAATTTCTTTGGGAAAGTTATTTTTTGATCAATCCAGATATTCATGCATTGTAATGTAACTAATTATTCATAATTAGATAATTATGAATATATAGATGCGTAATTAAATAATTCAAAACTACGTTTTTATTAATTAATGTAATATTGCATTAATTATTTTATCATGTAATCTTATGTTTAATTTTGTAGAAATATAAAACACTTATAAATGTTAAACTATCCGACTAAACTGAGTCATGATGCACGAATATTTAGACACATTACATCCGACCACAAAAATGCAATCTTAAAAAATACTAAGGCATTAATGAAATATATGTACATACATACATATATTTATGTATGTACTATTATATATGTACATATGTACAGAATATAGTATACATATTTATATATGTACAAAAAAGGCACCAATAATGTTTTCCACTTGTGACATTTTTGAATCAGACAAATAATATGTAGATACTCATGCATCATGATTATTAGCTCTAACAATAAGAAAAATCGGCAATGTTATCATTAAATAGAAAATGAGAAACAAATTATATTACATTCTGTTAGTCTTATATTTAATGTTAATAGGTCAGACACCTATCGAACTTTTCATTACCAATTTTCTGATTCTTGTCAGAGCCAATGGTCATGATGTGCAAACAACTAAATGATGTGTTCAACCCAAGAATGCCGAATTCAAAAATGAAGGAATTATTGATGTTCCTTGCATATACAAGGAAAAGTCAGAAATTAAGGTTTCCTATTTAATTATAGACACAATTAATTTAATTAATTTAAGATACAATACTACTTTCTTAATAGGTAGAGTCATATTTTTATGACAGATGTCGATTAGAGGGTTTATATTATGAGGGGAAGTTAGAAAGAAATTCTCTATTTAATTGCCAACCTTACATTGCATATAGTGACATGGTTCTTGCCTGATATGACATAAATCATCCCACTACATGCAGTACAAGATTGATAATTAAATAGAGATATTCTCTAACTTCCCCTCGTAATACATTCTGTAATCGTCATTTGTCATAAAAACATGGCTTTACCTGTTGCCAGAATAGTATTGTGTCTTAAATGTCCAATAGAAAACCATCGTATATATGGCGAAGTACAGTAAAATGTGTCTAAAAGAGAAAATAGTCATGAACGGTAAATTATCTTGAATTATAAAATATCGAACGGAAAGAATGACGACAGAGAAGTATTAAACGAGAAAATAATAGGCAGCAAAGTGATCATAAATCATAAGCTTAGCCTAATGTCATACGTAAACAGGACCTTGATTATCGTTGTCATCCAAACTGATTCGACTAGGATACGCAGGACCACCACCGTCATCGAAAAAACGTCTGAATGTGAACTCGAAGAAGCCATGAAATGGCTTTCCGTTGTCCAGTAACTCATCTGATTTGTTTGAATCCGACGACTCTGAATTGCGCAACTTGTCAGGATCAACGGGATCAAAATTACTCGTGTCGGTCGGATATTCTATACGAGGTATATGTGGAGCCATTTGGCGTCGTAATCCTTTCTCGAAGTCGATATTTGCAAAGAACGGATGATTCTTAACTTCATTCGCATTTTTACCCAACCGACGATCCGCACCAACACAGAGTTTTAGTATTAAATCCATACTTTCTGGCGATAGATTAGCCTGTTTCGGTATATGAAGCGTCGTTTCCCAATTAATGACCTGCAGAAATAAAACAAAAAACATTTATAAAAAACATTAATAGGACAATTTATCTCGAAGCACTTATATGGGAAGGATCAGAAGTGTCCTTCTCCAATTTTAATGAGCTTTGTAATCTAGTAAGAGACACATTTTTTTATTTGTGCCCAAATGGCCGTTAAAAAGATGATGTGCCCTGAAAAAAATCGGTTTTTATATTTCTGGGCAAATATCGTCAAAACTGTAAAAAATATAAAAAAATATATATATTATTTTGTTGACCTAGACCTAGACTATACAATATATTCAAAAATCATCAAAATCGGAGGGCACTTCCGACTCTTTCCTTGTTAAAAATAAGCGTTTTTCTGTCGTATTTTTATGAAACTTTGCACATATGTTTATTAATGATTTATTTAATACACGTAAATTTTAAAACAAAAAATATTGATTAGTTTAAAAAAATTAGAATATGAAAGTCCACACATACATACTAAAAAAACTGGCTACACTAAATCTTAAAACTACGTTAATCTTTCTTCAATTTAACAAAGACGAAAATGCTATATGTTACTAAAAAAAATTGATTCTGATTGATTAGGAAAGAGCCTGATCCATTTTTCAGAAGAAACATTCATAATTCTTACAATGGCATTTAAAGGGACACATTTTTTTCTACTCAACAGATTTTTATTAACATTTATATTTATATGTTTTTGGGTCACCAATTATGAATTTGAAGTCAAATTTCAGAAATTTGAAATGGCGGATCTGATATGGCAAACAAATTGTATTAAAATTGTAATAAAACTTTTTATTTCTGCTCAAGTCAAACTTTTGGTCGTTTTTTCGGGACATTGACTATAAATCTAAATATAAATTTTGAAAATTTAAAACTTAATATGGGAGGAAAGAGAATGGAGGGAAGTGGCATTCTTTTACATTTGTTCAAATTAAACTTATCCGGATTTTTTTGGATTATTGATTATAAATCTAAAGAAAATTATAAATGAAAATTAAACACATATAAAATTGCTTTTTTAAAATAAAAAGCACTTATTTCTCAAAGCACTCATTTCCATACAATCAAGATTTTTTTCAAAAATAAGTATATAAAAGATTTTCAATAAATTATATATTATACAATGAAATATGCTTAACATTTCTTTAAATTTTCAGCTTTTTGGCTTTATTAGTTTATAAGCAACCGATATAAAAAACACTTATTCCAATATTTCCATATATATACTCAAGATTTTTTTCCAACAATAAACACAAAAAATTTTCAATAAATTACATATTATACAATAAGATATGCTTAATAATTCTTTAAATTTTTAGCTTTCTAACTTTATTAATTTATAAATAGCCAAATTACTTGGAAAAAGATCACATTTTTTATCTCTTTAATTGTTTATAATTAAGAGTATATTAATTAATTAATTAATTAATTACAATTTTATTCCAAAAGTGATAGTTTAAGTTTTGACCCTAATATAAAGTTTTGGATAATTATGTATATACCATAAAGATTATACACATTGTGCATACCTTATATTGAGTTTCAGCGGGCGTATTGGCAAGAAATGGTGGAGAACCAACCAACATTTCATACAAAATTACTCCTACACTCCACCAATCGCATAACTGGGTGTATCCTGTACGCTGTAGAACCTCTGGCGCAATATAATTCGGTGTTCCGACCAGAGAATGCGCCAAACATCTTTGATGTTCTCTGTGTCGCCTACGTTCTAATGGCTTCAATTGTATGCACTGACATTCGTTGTTCCAATCGTCAGCTGGATCCATCGAATCTTGCTTACCATGACCTGGAATCAAACAAGAAGATATATCCTTCATACTGGTGTTTTATACATGTGCGATATCGTAATAATTATCATCATTATCGTCATTTTTATTGTTATCATAGTTATCACTATAATAATCATCACAATAAGTTTTTCTCACTCTTGTCGTTATCATAATAATTGTTATAATTGTAGTATTGTACATGTGCATTTCTGTTATCACTCATTTATTTCTCTGAGAACTATCGGTATTTCGATCAATCTGTTCTCTTAACAGAAAAAATCGATATTTTGGTGGCTTGTAAAATCCACTTATGCCAATTTTTCGTTCCGTTTGATACGAATATATATATCATATTTCTCAAACAAAAAAATACGATGCGTATACATTACTGAATAAAAAGAGATATTTGAGTATATAAATACATCGCCTTTAATTTTTCTGCGAAAATTACTGTAAATTTGTTTAAATAGCTTAATATTTGAGCATCTACTAAGCAAAGGAAATGATTGAAGAATGTTTACCGTTTTGTTGGTAATATTTAGAGTTGTGAGTCCAACGGAATCCCGTGCAGAGACCGAAATCGGTCAGTTTGATATGTCCGTCACGATCAATTAAGATATTGTCCGGTTTAATGTCCCTGTGAATAAATCCCATTTTGTGAACGCTCTCAACTGCACATGTGAGCTCGGCGATGTAGAATCTTGCCAATGGCTCCTTGAAGATGCCAAGCTTAATCAATAGGGACATCAAGTCCCCGCCGGGTATGTAATCCATCACAAAGTACAGATTATCTTTGTCCTGGAACGAGTAATAGAGTTTGACGACCCATTCATTGTCAGCTTCTGCCAATATATCACGCTCGGCTTTCACGTGAGCAACTTGATTACGATTCAACACATCGGCTTTACGTAAGGTTTTCATTGCGTAGAACTGATTGGTGTCGAGCTTCCTAACGAGCGTGACTTCACCGAATGCGCCGACGCCGATCGGTTTGATCTTGGTGAACATCGACTTGTCCATCTTCGCCCGTTTTAATCTGATGTAATTAGATTCTTTCTGCGACAACATCTTCCTCATCATACACTGTGCTTCCGCACTTAGACCGATCTTCGCCATCTCCGTCTCTAGCTGCATACGTCGATAGAGGCGTTGTTTATGCGATTTGAGTATATTTTCTACGTGCTGCTCCATGAAAAACTTGAAAGCCTGAGGAGAATAGTTTCTCACTTTGCAATCCCTGCGTTCCTCTTCCTTTTCTATGCTCATGGTTTTGCGCTCAGGTATAGGAGATTGATGCTTGATTTTGTAGGATAAAGGTGAGTTACCGCTATGATCACCTTTAGCGTTGCCACTACCTTTGCTACCAGCGGCGACGGCAGCGGCCTCAGGCAAAGACGAATGATTATTATTGTTTCTTACAGACATTGAGGTCGAGGCAACCGGCGGTAGGGATGGTACATCCATGTGTTGACAATTGTCGACCGGCGAATATTTCCTCTGAAGTGGCGGATGATGGGCAATTGGGGATGATCGCGGCGCACTGCCGCTCTCTATTGTAGAAGATATAATTGATGTGTCTTCAGTGGGAGTGCTGTAAGGTGGCGGCGGCAACGGATGATGTATACCGCGTTGTGCCGCTAATGCCTGCATCGTCGTGGCATAACTTGGCGGTTCTGTTGTCGGTATATTAGTAGGCGGCGCGACGACATTGTTCACGGGTGGATAAGCAGGCAGTGGTTGTTGCTGTTGTTTCTGTTGCATAGATGATGCGTAAGAAGGAGGCGGTGGTGGTGTGTTGTTGGTAGTAGAAATCGGCTGTGGTGCTGTGGGCGCGATAGCGGTCTGCAATACGGGTTTCTGCACTTGTGTACTTTTCACTGACTGCATGATGATCGGCGGTTGTGTTTTAGCCTGCCGCGCGCCCCACGCTTGCAACGGCGTCGGTCGTGCCATCGACGTCTGCGTATTATTGGGCGATATCGTAGACACGGTGATAGGACTGGGCGTACCAGCCGACGTTGGACCTGAGTAGATGCCAGACGACGGGCTCTTACGGTAATCTTGTTGCGACTGTGTGGGACTTTGCCGATTCTGCATAGAAACACTGTAAGAAGGCGGTTGCACTGGTTGACCGGCGGATGAGGATGGAACTATGGGATAAGGTGGCGGAGGTTCAATCTGGGTACTCGTATTACTGTTGCTCGTTTGATAAATGCTAAGCGCCTGCATCTGCTGCGTTAATTGCTGTTGTACTTGAGGACCATTTTGCACGATCATTGGCTGACGACTGCCAGAATTGTTAACGCTTGCCACCGGACTAGTACCGCGCTGTGGCGGATTCACTGACGCTGACGTAGCACCGACCGTGTTGGATGTCGTCACTGCCGGTCTCGTCGGCACGACCGGCGCAGGTGACATTCGCTTGAGCATTTGTTGCATGTTGGTGGGCACATTAGGCTGACTATATGGCGCGTGAGGCGGTGGCGGTGGCGGTGGCGTGGAACTACATCGAGGCGGCGGAGGTGGCGGTGGTTCACGTTCCACAAAGTTATTGGGCGAGTATTGGCGGCTCAACTGCGGATGCGTGCTAAGTTCCGTGAGTCGCGGACTATCGGATCGCGAGCTGCCCGCCCCGCTGTCCAACGCGGGACTGCCGCGTTGCAAACTTAATTCCCTTTCAAGACTCGGTTTCCTAATGAGTTTGCTATTGAGCTTACCAAGCCCATTCAGAGATTCCCCTTGAGTCTGTTTCAAGTACTCTATCGCTGCATCTAATCGCCATCCCGCAAATTTCATGGCGCGTAATCCTATTTCCTGTAAAGCGATTTCAAATTAAGGTAAGTTGTTTATCGTTAGATTTATATCGCTTAATAATTAATAATAGTTTAAAACAAATATTGAGCGGCATTCTCCTGTCTCACCTCCGAATATCCCATGGCTAATAATTGTCCCAATGCCTGTCGCTGATCCGGTTTATCAACAGTGGAACCAGAGGCGCCGGAGAGCCCGCTAAGACCCGAGGCGGAGCTAATGCCACTAGTCGTGGATACAGTAGAGATAGTGCTAGCGGCACTGGAACCCACCTCTCCAATCCCGCCGATATTCGCAAATGGTAGTAACGAATTGCGAATCTCAGCTAATGCCTTTTGGTGGTATCCAGAGCCGCGAGTGCTCGATTTGTTGACCACAGGTGGATTCATAGTGGCCCATGCTAGGCCCTTTAGGACCTAGCTTTAATCCGGTTGTGGCATATATAAACGTATCTATACAACACAAAATAATGTTTTTACAATACTTGATTAAAATAATATCTTGTAAAAGTAAAAAGAATAGAAATGTCATGCATTACATATACAAATACTTTTTCTTTATAATATTTTATTTTTGTTTTTTGTTTTTTTTTTTTGGTATTGATACAGATGTGTGAGATTTATATATAAAAAGAATAAATTGATATATTAAAGAGATATTTAACATACAAGAATTTAATTAAATTTACCAAAACTTGAATAGAAATTTATATTGATATTAAAATAATATATATATATAAACAATAAAATACACAATTATGTGTAAACAATAAAATTTTGTTTCTTTAAAATATTATTTTAAGCTTATTAACACTATTTATGAGAAATATCAATATTAATATACAAATAATTAAGGTCTGATAAAATAAGTATTATTATAATTATTAATGCGACTGTTTCTCCCTTTTTACGCATCCATATACATATGTGTCAGATTATATGCATATATATTTTTCACATATTTTATATTATGTTTATTAAGATGTGGCAAAGACCTTGTTTTGTGTAATTCTATTGAAATAAATAGATCAAAATTTTTCCATATTATTTAGACAGAAATTTACATACATACACATATACATGTGTAAATATAAAAATGCAGGAAAAAAGAGAGAGATATATGCATGCATAGAACTTTATGTAACAAGATAATACTTACAGAATACAGATCACTGCTAATTTATCCTGTCGCGGATACTTTCCAGTGTCATGACTGGCGACAGTTCTCTAGCTAGGACAGCTAGTTGAGTTCAAAACACGCTCAAGGACTCGGGGATCACTGCCGCTCGAATCATGTATAACACAACGTGTATCACAATAATACGAATCACGAAGAAACGAGATATATTTGTCAGATGTATAAAAAACGTGGACGAAGAACGCAAGGTCGACCCATCGAGCTTAGTATTCTTCACACCGTCGTAGAAAACAATCTCGCTTGGTCGTCCGCTCCGTGAGATTGGCAGAGAATCGGAAGGCACATCAGGCATATTTCGCATAGCCGCTCCTTGGCATCCTCATGCCATGCGAGTGAGCGATTGATAAGTAACTAACCTATCTCCAGGCATACTACTTAAACTGGTTAAAAACCGTGATAAATGGAGACGAGCTTAATGCCGCACGCGTTTGTCAACGCACCTGAGATGCTACAACGTGACAATAACGAGCCGCCGAGATCCCACGGGACGGGGCTCTCCTGATGGGGCGACAATGGTGACAGCAGCCGTCCCGAGCATATTCCCGTGGCGCTTCCCCACGTTTCCCACCGTCGCTTTTGGCGAGCAGAGTGTGACAGGCGAGGTAGACGAAGAACGTCACGTCAGCGACACGAGTATAAAAACGCGCTAAATCCCCTGGTGCTCACCACCAGGAGCGAGAGTGTACGAGCGATCAAGTCGAGCTCAGTCGAGCTAACAGGCAGAGACAGATGAACGACACATACACACGCGTACGCGTATGCGTGCATACATCATCGTATCTGCGTGTGTACATCGGTCGGTCGCTCTGACTTCGGGGTTCCTCGCGGGTGCCTCGCGAGAATTCGCACGATTCACACGCGCGACAACAAAGGCAGATTACTAAGGCTGTAAATTACTAGAATAGCCGTGGCAGCCATTTTGAAATGCCACATTCCTATACGCAGCCAGTAAGTATCGCAACAGCCAGGCGACTCGACACCTTTTTTTTTTTTTTCGGAGTAATTTATCATATGGCCGAGTCATCAGCGATTTATGCGATGACGTACGGAGGAATTACTTCCTTAATGCATTTCCCCGATATTTTAATTAATTGCAAATCACGAGGGAGCCCGTGCGATTACCGCATTTCGCTCACACACGCACGCGCGCGCGCACATACAGAGAGAGAGAGAGAAAGAGAATTGATGCCATGTGCGTGTGTGTAATGTATGTTTGCGAGAATATACGAGGACAGAAATGCCTTGAAAAACACATGAATTAGACACATGACAAGATAAATATGGGAAATGCATAATATTTATGTCGAGAGATAGTTTCTGTTCCTATATATCTTCTGGTGAATCAATTTTCATGAGAATAAATTCTTTAAAATTTTTTTTTCGCTATGTTTGCAAGAGCTCTCTCTTCCTCTTGTCGATTACAAATAAGTTTTACTCTCCATTTACACCATAGACATATATCATATAAATTATATAGTTGGAGGTACCCTGTAAATTAAAATCGAATAACTTGATGAAGAAAGTAAAATATATAGCGTTTTCGAATGAAGCAAATTTGATCGCTCCGAGAGCGATTAATGACATTATAAACACTTGGGTTATTAGGGATATACTTATTTCTATTAATCACATTCAAAACTCATTTTCGATCAAACATATATATGTTCATGGAAAATTGAATTTAATTACTCTCAGAGCAATCAAACCTTGCTTCACTCGAAAATGCTACTAGTTTTACGCCGATATATTTTAATACGTACTGAATAATAAACTGACCAATCATAGCCATTCCTTTAAAAAGTGAAATGGCTGTGATTGGCCAGCATAGTATTGTTAGGAGAGACTGGTTGTGTTCAGCAGAGAAGCGCTCAGTTATCGTCTTGTCAACACTCGATGTTGATTTGTTAGTTCTGAAAGTAAGAGCCAATCACGTTCGATTGCTACTGAGCGGTTTTCTTCACTGAACGCCGGCATTGTGACACAATGCGAGCTTTTTAGCAAAAAACACACATAAACACTATCATATGATTAGCTGTCAAATATAAAAATTTTGAAATCTTAAAAAATTTTCCATTTAATAGCCAATTGCGTGACGTAATATATATCTATGTTTTCTTGCTGGAGATCTCCCATATCTCTCCGTGCTCCTTGCTAGAAAGCACCCATATATATATATATATATATAAAATTTTCCGCCAATTGCGTGACGTAATATATATCTATGTTTTCTTGCTGGAGATCTCCCATATCTCTCCGTGCTCCTTGCTAGAAAGCTAGAAAGCA